CAGTAACGACTTGAATCGGGTTTTTCCTACTTATCATGGAAATGTCACAGGAGGGTAGTTCTGCTCTACATTTAGGTGAATGTGGGTTGTTGATGGTAGCATGGCAAGGCTGTATGTCTAAGCTCTGCATCTACTTTTGAATTTTACGTTGCAGATGACTGCTCAGGATGTGTCGACAATGATTCGATCTGGACAGAAGTCTATCATCTTCTTAATTAACAACGGTGGTTACACCATTGAAGTAGTGATCCACGATGGGCCTTACAATGTAATCAAGAACTGGAATTACACTGCATTAGTAGATGCAATCCACAATGGTGAAGGAAATTGCTGGACAACTAAGGTAATTGAGCTATTAACTGTCCCTTTTGTTAAGTAAATTATTTTGATTTAAGTTCTTTTCTTTTCGCGTCATTGTTAACGTAGGTACAATATGAAGAAGAACTAGTTAAAGCAATTGAAACTGCAACCGGAGACAAGAAAGACTGCTTATGCTTCATCGAAGTGATTGTTCACAAGGACGACACCAGCAAAGAGCTACTCGAATGGGGTTCTAGGGTCTCAGCAGCGAATAGTCGCCCTCCCAATCCTCAGTAGACTACTTCGATTCAGCAAATTTAATGAATTACATAATACCCACTGTTTTGTTTGTCAATCTTGTTCCAAGTTCTTATTTCTTAACATTTATACACGTTGAAGATGCATTTTAACTTTTTTGTTTAATGGCCTCTTTGGGCTTGGGGTGGTGAACGTACAATAATTGAGCGCATGGCTTGTTACACATGTCATGTTCTAGCTCACCTAATCGTCGAATGCCTAAAAGTAAAGCTAAATCGAAGAGATTTGATCAAGATCTATAACTTCGTCAACACCTAAATCGGATCAAACTGAAACAAGCTTCTCCAATTTCCACTTTCCTCGAGGCATTTAGTTATTTCACCTACTTCCGACTTTCTTGTACTCGAAATAACCAAGTTTCAAATAAATCATTCATTCGATGTGTGATTAATACAAAAGTCGACATTGAAAATAACGAATGAAAAAGTAATATATTTGAGTTTTGAAAAAATTAAGCAAAAAAGATTAGACAAACATGGTCTTGGACCAACAAGTTTTTTTAGGATGCAACATTGCCAACGCTATCTTTTCACTTGTGGTCCGAAATTTATGGTTGACATCACTATCTGACGACTATAATTTTGTCTGTTTACCCCACTAATGAAGGTTTAAATGTTGAATTATAAGAAAAGCATATGGGCTTGTTTGGTACAGATTTTCATTTTCTACAGTAAATCAATTTTCATTTTCAACCACACATTTTTCAATAAAATAATATTTTCCATCACATCAATACTATTTTCTTCTTTTTCAACCACACATTTNTTTTCTTCTTTTTTCAACCACATATTTCCCATCATATCACTATTCAAAAATCAATTCTTCCCCCAAAAATCTCTACCAAATACACTCATAATGTGGTGTAACAAAATGTATCGTACGATCTAGTGTTTAGTCCACAACTAATGTACTCAATCCATTTCCATCATCTGTCAAGTCATATTGTCACATTTTTGACAATGCCACTGGAAAATAAATTGAATTTTAAAATAAACTGATTTTTTTTCCTTTTTATTTTATCATTTAATAAATTCTAACTTTTATTTTATTTATTTATTGAAAAGCATGATGAAGGATGAAGTGTGCGAATTAAAACTAGGATTGACAAAACCTAGAAAAGAACCAACTCTCCTAGTTCATATCTGTACACATTTTGATATCTCGACACATTATACATTCTTAGAAAATGAAAACGAGCTAAGTTATGATGTGTCAATATATTGGGATTCACATTTGCTAAAAGCATCTTCGATGCATTCAAGAAATTGCTATCTAGCTTACATGTAAATTGCAAGATTTTTAATTGAATAATGCTGCACATACATGGAAACTTTCACAGAATTTTTACCGGCTTCCACTTGAAGCAGTTTCATTGGCAATTAGGGGGAAAAAAAATAAATAAAAAAATGCAAATGGCAGCACCTGTAAAGCTTCTATTCCTTTTTAATTGAATAATACTACAAGTACATGGAAACTTTTGCAGAATTTTTTGAGGGAAAATTTATTTCGGAATAGTAATTTTTTAAAAAATATATGATTAAAAAATAAGAAAATTTTTAAATCTATGTGTAATATTATTTTATTAAAAAATTTTGATTAGAAAGAAAAGAGAAAAATACATTTCAAATAAAATGAAGTGAAAGAGGGACAATCCAAACAGAGCTCTACCACACCAGCTCCAAATATCTCTCAGGTTGCACTAGAGAGGGCTCACACTTGTAACAATTTGTGAAATCAAATACATTAAAATTTATCCACGTTGGGAACGCTAAAACCTATATAACTGATGGCGAGGTAATTGTAAAGTTTAAGAGCGTTAAATGCTTTTTTTATTTTTCTTTTACTGGTTATATAAAAAAAGCAGCAAACATTAAATGCGTGGGGAATCTATAGCATAGTTCACAAAATCATTTTGATGCAGAAAGACTAGAAGAGAGTGTTATTTACACATCAGAAAAACTACTTGCCGGGACCATCTTCACTTGGCACGAAAACAAGACAACCATTTTGGAGCAAAGCAGCAGGAAATGGGGCTTGACAAGAGCTAATGTGCGATCTGAGGCGAGGCATGTTTGGATGTGCACTTTGACACTTATGACACCTCGACTCCATGGAGAGGACATTGTCTTCATTTTTCAACGCGACCTTGCCATGTTCGTTGACTTCGTGTATCACATCAACTGAATCCCGGA